TCCATAAAGTAGGGGGTTGTATTATACACAGGTTTTTGGTGATTAGAATTTTTTAATGCTTTTTAAGCTCAAAAAATTATGATTGCAATATACATGAAAAAAAATACGGTAGCTTTGCTTACGAAATGTACGGTGAAAGGAAAAAAAAAAATTATGGAGTTTTTTATAATGCTGACTGGACAACATTCGTACCAGTAATATAGATCTACACAGTTCTTAGTAGTAGTAGTAGTAGTAGTAACTAGTAGTAGTAGTAACTAGTAGTAGTAGTAACTAGTAGTAGTTAGTAGTAGTAGTAGTAACTAGTAGTAGTAGTAGTTAGTAGTAGTAAGTAGTAGTAGTAGTAGTAGTAGTAACTAGTAGTAGTAACTAGTAGTAGTAGTAGTAGTAGTAGTAGTAGTAGTAGTAGTAGTAGTAGTAGTAGTAGTAGTAAGGAATATAATAATTTATTGGAACAGCCAGTGGGTTTACTCGACATTTTCTGCATCTCCGACATATTTTTGAATAAAAATATTTTGATGGGTTGTAAAATGTGATAACCTTGATCTTGTTGTTGTACTGTTGACAATTTATGCCAAAATATTGCATCCCTTTTTGACATTTCTTGCGTRACTGTCTGCTGCATCTCCTTTTTTACCACCATTCCTCGATGTTCCTCAGTCACAACTCAGTGCACAGCAATGGCACCTGTGCGGTGCACAATAAGTCACATGATGTCCCATCCAGTAATACAGATCAACGATCAGACATGGACTTGTTTCCTTCTAGGTGGAGCTGATAAGAACGTGGTRGTGTTTGACAAGAGCGAGGAGCAGATTGTGGTGACTCTTAAAGGTCACACCAAAAAAGTCACCTCTGTCATTTTCCATCCATCTCAGGTGATTCTTTCTCCTTTTCTTTTGTTGTGATAAAAATTATACTGATAAATGTGCCAAAAAAAGGTACACTTCTTGACTCTGTTATCTTTCCTTCTCCAGTCTATGGTCTTCTCTGCCTCCCCCGACGCCACCATCCGTGTGTGGTCGGTTACTGGGGGCAACTGTGTGCAGGTGGTGCGTGCCCACGAGGCAGGCGTCACTGGACTCTCTCTGCACGCCACTGGAGACTACCTGCTCAGCTCCTCTGAGGATCAGGTGTGCTTTCAGCTTAAATCAGTAAACAAACAAAAAAAAATCCCACATTAAGCTATTTCATCTTACTCACTTTGTTGTTGTTTTTCCAGTACTGGGCCTTTTCTGATATTCAAACTGGTAGAGTTCTCACCAAAGTTACTGATGAAAGTGCTGGCTGTGGTAAGAGCATCTGTGATTACTTTTGCGTTTAAACGGCTTGCCTGATGTCCTGCAGTCTGTTTCACAATGAAAAGGTTTTGTTTGGGTTCCACAGCTCTCACGTGTGCTCAGTTCCACCCTGATGGTCTCATTTTTGGCACCGGCACGGCCGACTCCCAGATTAAAATCTGGGATCTGAAGGAACGCACCAACGTGGCCAACTTCCCCGGCCACTCTGGCCCTGTCACCTCCATCGCTTTCTCTGAGAACGGATACTACCTGGCCACAGGTGAGGAGGAGTACACACTAATTCTTCACACTCCACCTATATCTTTAATTTGTGTTTACATGTGAAGTTGCAGACAGATATCAGAACTTGGTTATGCATTGAAACACCAAATTTTCCTTCTCTTGGGTTCATATTTGTTGGAGATCATAAACATCGCTGCTTGTATTTTAGGTGCTCAGGATAGCTCTGTTAAACTGTGGGATCTGAGGAAACTGAAGAACTTCAAGACCATCACGCTGGACAACAATTATGAGGTAATAATATCCATATTTTCCCTGTTGTAGGAAAGAAACATTTCTGTTTTGCAAATGAGTTAAGCTAGCAGCCTGCATAAAACATGCAGACTGTGTCTGCGACATTGTTCYGTGTCAACAATGTTTAACACGTGTACTGTGAGGATATGTTTGTAGGTGGCAGTACTGCAAGATAAAGGTCCAAAAAAATTCRGCTCTTTTCTGATTTTTATTTGTTTTTCAGCTGTTTTCTTGTGATCTCAGAGATGGGGAAGTTTTAAAGCTTTTCCCAAACAATAAACAAGCCATTATTGTGTTGTCTGTTATTATCTATGATTACACRTCATGTTTGATTTGAAACAGCACTATCCTTAAAATTAAAATTTATGTGTATGTTGAGTATAAAATGTGCTGCAAATAAAGATAGAGAACAAAGTGTCCTGAAAGGAACAGTGTGATCCTGGCTAATGTCTTGGTATTTCAGCTGTCTAGAGACAGCATTGTACTAACRGTTAAATGTGACCCATCACATCGAACTGAGGATTAAGTTTCAAGATGGTCTAGTGAGTTATAGCAAGCATTGGTTGAAAAATTAGCAATTTCTAGATTTAGTCAAAATATGGGAGCCTTGAATGATATATCTTAAATACAGTATAATTATAAAGAATGTTTTGTAGCACTTTTCTGAGCCGTAGCAACAACTAACCATGATTATGAGCCAAAAAAAACGTACAGTTTTCACTACTTTTCCCATGTGTTGGCGTAGCTTCTTTTAATCCAATATCCAAATATAGTTTGAGGTTTCGTCTTTTTAAAATCTGTCAAAAAATCCTCATAATACAGTATGTGAAAAATAGGATGTAGAYAGATTTTCAAGGGATTATCTCAATTAGCTAGACAATTTGAGCCTCAGCTTAGAGCGGTTCATATCAGGATGAGGGTATCAAATGTGGCTTAAAATGCCAGAAATGTGTTAAAAAAGTAAAATGTGCTAAGTTCAAAATACAGACATGTTGAATAATGGTGCTTTCATTTTTCAGGCTGTTTCATCGTATTTGTTCTTGTTTCTCCTCAGGTGAAGTCCCTTGTGTTTGATCAGAGTGGAACCTACCTGGCTGTCGGAGGGTCTGACATTCGTGTCTACATCTGCAAGCAGTGGTCTGAGGTTCTCAACTTTACAGGTGAGGAGAAGGAAAAATACAGAAAAGATTTTATCTGATGTGTATGTGACAGTGGTTCATCCCAGAGAGCATCATTTTTATTTTTTCACACTTTAGACCATACAGGACTGGTGACTGGAGTGGCCTTTGGAGAAAACGCGAAGTTCCTGACCTCAGCAGGAATGGACAGAAGCCTCAGATTTTACAGTTTGTAGAAAAGCAGAAAATCAACGATAAGATGATGAAGATGAATCGATCTGTTTGAGCAGTCGCTTTCCTGTGTCATTTTTAGAAAACAAAACAAAATCATTGTTCACTATACTACTTSGTTGTGTTAGTCGTACCAGGATGCCAGGAAAGATTTTGCATTTTACAAATATTACCTTTTTTTTAAACCATAGCGGTATGGTAAGTGTAACATCTGTTGGCTTTGTGGGTTTAAAATCTAAATGATGTGAGATAAAAAAATAATAATAAAAAAAAACAAAGGCCAGCATAAAATTCCTGTTCTGTTGCCAGCAGTTTTAATTTGTAGTTTTTTATTTTTTCCATTTTTGTATGTGTGTGGGGACTTTGCTTCTTAATGTAGACTAGCTTCTTTACTGTATTTTTTAGGTTAAATGAAAAAAAAAAAAACACCTGGTGATCTACAGTAAAGTGAAAGATGACGCATTTGCTTCTGGTGGAAAAACGTCATATTTAGCTTTCTTCAGTTTCATATCTCATTTTATGTTTTGTTTCAACATGTTTTTTTTCCCTACTGTAAATTTGTCATTGCTTACCGTTGTTCCTAATGCACCTCTGCCTTTGATGATAAAATAAAATATCTTTTTCAAATTATTTCAGTTTTTTTATGTGCTAACGAATGTTTTTAAAAAAGCCTTAACCATAAACATTGTTTACCAAAATTTAAGTTTTAGTCATTTTAACATAAGTACTTAACTGAAACTAAATATGACAGCTTTTGAGGCAGAAAGTGTGAATTACAGCAGTTTAAATTCAGGAATTAAACTGAATTATTTTTTATCTAAGAATGGATCCTGCATTTTCTTATTAAATTCCTTCAAATTTTCATAAACAAGTGAGTAATTATAAGATTTTTGTTTGAAAGTTATATTTTTGCACTTATACAGCCCTGACATGCCCTCCAATAGTAGTGAAGGACATTAAACTGTAGATAATTAAAACATTGGCCAGGCACTCACTTAATTGTTTTATTATAAAACCTTTCATTAAAATTAAACCAAGAGATKTTTTAGATGTTTTCAAGTAGGGGTCTCTGCAGACGAGAAGGCATTTCCAAAGAAAGGCGGTTCTTAAGAGAAACACCTGATTGGACGGACGTCTTTCAATGGGTATACCTGATTGGACGAGCACAAAGGGCGTGCCTACAGGCCTCTACCTGATTGGACGAACAAAAATAGGCATTATTAAAGCACATCACCTGATTGGATGATCGGTGCTTCGGCGTTTCTTTGTATTATTAGCTTACTTTCTACCCTAGCACTGGACTTTCTTATTTATTTTCAATACATTTAGYTTTACAAACTTGCTGTTGTTATCATGGTAATTAGACGACTTGGAAATAACAGCWGGCAGGTTAGCTGCTGGTATTATATGTCTATATGAAGACGCAGACGCAGTGTCRGACCCACTGTCTTCATTCATTATTTCTGCATATATTTATTAAATTGTGGCCAGGTTATGAACAGTTAATATCTTACCTGTTGTAGATAGCTCTTTGAACAACTTCAAGTTTGGAAAAAATAAAAAAAGCTAAATTATTACCAGAGGGCTAGCAGTTAATCTTAGCAGAACCAAACTGAAGCTGTTCTTGGTGCGATCTACAGCAGGTAAGATATTAACTGTTCATAACATTTCCATARAAGCCAAATATTTCATAACTACTGAATCATAATATTTGGACGTTGTAATTTATACATTTAAAAAATCTAATCATTTAGAGATGCTACATCAYATCAAATGGGATATCTTGTGAATGTAAGATGCTAAGTATTATTTTACAGATAATATCTGATAATTTAGTCTTAATAATTTTTAATAAAGTGAGCTTCCATAATTTAGAGCAATTTTTAAGTTGTTAGCTTTAGCCCTTGTGTTGCTCAGCTGAACCTCTGCAGCCCTCTGAATGACACCGGAAGTCTTGCCTCCTCGTGGCCAGACGAGAGTCGCACGTCGACCGTCACGTGAGTCCACAGTAACGTGACTCCGTCTGAAACGGGAAATGGGAAAAGAAAAACCACAAGTTGTCTGAAAGCTCTCTACAACGAGTCCACTTTGTYACGGAACCGGGTCGGGCCGCCGAAAACAGAACCTGTGGGAGTTAAAGAAGGTGCAGGCGGGTGAGATAACAGCCGTTTAGCTTGTTTTGATGCTAATTGTTTGCTTTATTTATCTGCTTGTCCATGACTGTTTATGCCATGACTTTTTTTGTCTTATACTTTTACTTCTATTTCGCTCACATTAAATAATTACTAAGTAAATCGTAAATTATCGTGCATTTTCTCTTTTTATTGACGCGTTTCGTTTTGTAACTCAAATCGAAACTTTGCACCATGACAAAAAAAAATCTGGACAGTTCAGGTGATCATTACAGCCAGAACACAACTCCCCCACTTCTTGTTTTCTATCCGTGTTGTTTGTTGTAGTCGTTTATTTTGACAGTTTTCGACTTGACCAATTTTGTCGTTTCCTCCACACAATTCTCTGTTTACTGGGTTTCTGTCAGATGATTCCCATTACAGAGGCCAGTCTAACTGTAATTCAATCAACAGCACAAATCACAAGCTACAGAATGCTGCCAAAAAATGTTAAAACAGAAAATATTCAGTCCCAGAACTAAAACAGACTGCACAAAAGTGGGATTTATTTCAGTTTTTGTCCACGACCTCATCCGCTTTAGGAAAGTGACGCCAGGAATCTGGAAACTAACGCTTAATTTTTGATCTTTTGTTTAATTTGTACTTGTTTGTCAGTTTTTAGGTCACATGAAAAGCAGAATAAGTGTTGCAGTTATTGCTATATAAAAGATGAAACATGAATGTGCAACAATGGAAATTCCACCTGATGATCACAATGAGGAAGATGTGGTTCTTCCTCTTTTCTGCAGTTACAGGTTCTCGTTGTCCTCTGAGCTGTTTATGATTTCTAAARCTGTTCGTTTGTCACTTGTTTCCAGGTGGTCATGGGGTCCTTGTTTCGAAGCGAGGAGGTCTGTCTGGTGCAGCTCTTCCTCCAGTCCGGCTCGGCCTACAACTGTGTCAGTGAGCTGGGAGAGCTGGGCCTGGTGGAGTTCAGAGACGTGAGTCTTATAAACGTTGGACTTTCCACTCGGCTCGTCATCTTTCGCTGCGAAGCTCAGAAAACACAAAGGCAAAAAGGGGCAGAGAGGAATTTGTCTCCTGACCAGCTTGTTATTGATTTGTAACTTTGTTGTGTATTTTGAAAGCTTTTAACAGTTTTCCTACACCTCATGAGAACTACAATCACCAATTCTGACCTGATTTTAAAGAAAAGTAAAATCTTTAGCTGGTGTGACRAACTGTGTGTGATCAGGTGAGCATGAATAACCCTGTTGCTCTCCTGTTTTTCCTCCCTTTTCCATGTTTCAGTTAAATCCCAACGTGAACGCMTTCCAGAGGAAGTTTGTCGGYGAGGTCAGACGATGCGAGGAGCTGGAGAAGACTTTCAGTAAGCGCTGACTCGTTCTTCCCCCTCGTGCATTTCCATCTTCTTCTTCTATTAGTCTCGTTCTGCTTTTCCATCTCTGCCCCTTTCTGACGTCCACTCTGTCCTTCAGCCTTCCTGGAGCAGGAGATCAATCGCTCCTTATCTCCGCCGCTGCGGGGGCCCCTCCCTCCTCCGACCCCGGTGCCTCCGGCCCCGCAGCAACGGGAACTCATCACCATAGAGGAGGAAAGCGAGCGGCTGGCGAGAGAGCTGCGAGAGGTGAAAAACTAATCGGCTGTGATAAATCATTTTGTTATCGCCCGCTAGCAAACAGCATATTTTTGTGTTGGCTAATTCACATTAGCCATTAGCTATTAGCTGAGAGTCATAACACTTTTCATCGTCTTTTACTTCAGTCAGGTGGAGGTGAGCGGATCGATCCAAGTATGTAGAGTATTGATACCAACGTTGTGCAGTTTAAGTCTTGTAACTCAGCACACATTCAGCAAYAAGAGTCCACTTTCTTTGTCTCTTTTCTTTAAATTGTCCATGTCCTGGATGACTGAGAATCCACAGAAATGTATGACTTTAATGTCTGTCATATTGATGCCGAAGTTACTGTATCAATATTTGAGTTTTAGCACRTCACTCCCTTTCCAAAAACAAAATGCTGCACCGGAGGAGCCGGCAAGAGACGGGTTTAAATGTAAACAGTGAACTAAACAAACAGGTCAGATAGTTATTTAATCAGCGCACCAGCTTCAGAATCGACATGCTAACGTGTAGCATCCACAGGCTACTTCTGTAAACAGCATCCTGAATCTAGCGTCAATATTTTTATTATCATGCCATGTGGGTCAAATCAGTGCCGTGGAGAGTTCACGCTGGAATTTAAAATATAATGTGAACGACCACGCAAAAAAAATAAAAAAAGATTTTTGCAAAAAGTTATTTTTGCAAAAAAAGTTATTTTTGCAAAAAAAGTTTTTTTTTTTTTTTTTTTTTTTAAAAAAGGATTTTTGCAAAAAAAAAAGGGGGATTTTTGGGAAAAAATGGATTTTTGCAAAAATATCAGAATTAAGACCTGCAAAGTGAATGTAGTCTGTAACTCTGGCATTAAAGTCAGCAAGTCTTTTAATTTTATATAATTTTTTTAAATTTCCCAGGTGTCCAGGAACAGAGACAGCCTTCGAGCTCAGCTCAATCAGCTCCATCAGTACAGAGGAGTTCTTACCAGAACACACTCGCTCACAGCCATGCAGGTGACTACCAATCGCCACCGGTTCTGAATCAACTCTGAAATAAAGTCGGAGGACAGAACTAATATGTTTCCATCTTTTCCTCTCACAGGCACCTCCACCTGCTCTGGAAGGCCACGGCCTGTTTGACAACCGTCAGGACATCCGCCTCAGGTTCAGCTCATTTCCAGACGCTCCTGTTGAGTTTTCCTAAACGTCCCTCAGCTTTCACCGAATTTCAAAGCCTCTACTCTCCTCTTCCTCAGTTTTGTGGCAGGAGTGGTCCATCCTTGGAAGGTCCCGTCGTTTGAACGGTTGCTGTGGCGTGCGTGTCGCGGTTACATCATCGTGGACTTCAGAGAAATGGGAGAACCACTTGTGCACCCAGACACGGTTAGATGCTGGAGACCTCAAGTTGGTCACACCTCATGAGTTTCTGCTCTTACCTAATCTAAATGCCGATTTTTTTTTTTTCTTTCAGGGGGAAATGGTGCAATGGACCGTGTTCCTTATTTCCTTTTGGGGAGACCAGATTGGACAGAAGGTTAAGAAGATTTGTGATTGGTAGGGAAATCAGTGCACCGGTTTTATTATTGTTATTTTTTCTTATGTTTTCTAACAAGACCAACGTTTTTCCAGTTTCCACACACAGACATTTGCGTACCCTGAGAGCACCGCAGAGAGAGAGGAAATTCTGCAGGGGCTTCAGGGTCGAATTGAAGACATCCACTCTGTAAGTGGAGGAAATCCACGGTGCCCCTTTCCAGAAAGCATTTTGTTACTAAACTCTCTCCTTTCACTTCCGTCTTTTTTTTTGCATTTCCAGGTGTTGAATCAGACCGAGGCGTTCCTGCAGCAGCTGCTGGCGCGAGCCGTGGCCTTCTTGCCTGCGTGGAAAGTGAAAGTCCAGAAGTGCAAGGCCATCCAGATGGTTCTGAACCTCTGCAGTCCCTCCGTGACCGACAAATGCCTGATCGCCGAGGCCTGGTGTCCCAGCGCCAAGCTGCCGGAGCTGCAGAGCGCCCTCAGAGAGGGAGGGGTGAGGAGGACGCTGCAGCGACCGGAGGCCGGGTGGTTTAAAGGGACCCCTGATTAGTTGTAACATTAGACTTTATTTGATAAACATTTATTTTAACTGTAAAATCAAGACTGTAAAAATACTGTAGGCTGTTTAGTTTTGTAATTTTTTTAAATATATTTTAACACAGGCGGAGCCAGTTTATTTACACACAAAGCATTTTGGGTAAATAATGATGTGGGTAGGTCCTCGGTGTGTGCTAGCTATATCCACCCTGAAGGCTAATCTTGGACAATATCTGATGATCGACTCTTTTAAATGAAACCAGAGAGCGTTGACAGAGAGGAGAAGGTAGAAATGACTCAGCCTGTAACTGAAAATATGGATGGAGGACAACAGAGCTGCTTCATGGAAGAAGAACCTCAGCTTAGCCTGTTAGCCTTCGCGCTAGCGCCGATACCATATTGCCTTATATGTATTAGCTAGGTGCTAGTGCGACAAACAAGCTAAACTGAGGTCCTCCATCTTTATTTTCAGTTGCAGGCTGAGTCATTTTTGCGTTCCCCTCTCTGTCATGTGGATGGAGGACCTCAGTGACGAGAGGAGAATGTGTAGCGCTGAGCTAATAAATATATATAGTGATAGCATTTGGGCTAATGTTAAAGCTAACAGGCTAAGCTAAGGTTCTTCTTCCATGAAGCAGCTCTGTTGTCCTCCATCTATATTTTCAGTTACAGGCTGAGTCATTTCTACCTTCTCCTCTCTGTCAACGCTCTCTGGTTTCATTTAAAAGAGTTGATCATCAGATATTGTCCAAGATTAACCTTCAGGGTGGATATAGCTCACTAGCAGCCTCACACCGAGGATCTATCCACGTCATCAATTACCCAGAATGCTTTGTGTGTAAATAAAATGGCCCTGTCCGTGTTAAAATATATTTTTAAACTTAAAAATATGTTTAATAAATAAAGTCTAATGTTACAACTAATCATGGATCCCTTTAACACCCATAAACAACTCTGTTTCTGTCCGCAGAGGAAGAGCGGCAGCAGCGTTGATTCTTTTTACAACCGCCTGCCCTCCAGCACCCCTCCGCCCACTCTGTTTCCTCTCAACTCGTTCACCACAGGTTTCCAGAGCATCGTAGATGCTTACGGAGTGGCCACCTACCGTGAGGTCAATCCTGGTACGTCACCGGGAACGTTTCCCTGAAAATGAAAATAAAACAAATGAACAAAAGAAAAATCCGTTCAGTTTTGCACCAYATGATGAGTGATGCCTTGTTTCTTCCTGCCTCTGCAGCCGTGTACACCATAATTACATTCCCCTTCCTGTTTGCGGTGATGTTCGGCGACGTGGGTCACGGTTTGCTGATGTCTCTGGCTGCCCTCTGGATGGTCCTCGAGCAGAATGACCCCAAACTGAAGAACAGTACAAATGAGGTGGTTTTTACCCCCAGTGCTAATCTTATACTTAGAAACAAAACGATTGTATCCAACTTCACATCACAACAAGCAGATGTTTGTTTTTTAAGACTAATTTAGCTTATCTTTTGTACAGTTTAGTCTAATTTTGTTCCCAAAGTATTAAAAAAACAATCCACATAAAGATAGCTAAAACAAGATAAAAAGAAATGCCAGTTCAGGAGACCGTTTTATCTTTTTTTATTTGACAGGAGTTCAGTCATCTGCAGCCTCTCTTCTCCTACGCTGCTGTATAGATAAGGTCTAGTTGTGTTTAAAAAGGGATTTATCTTTTATTCATGCTCTCCCCAGTGAAGTTTCCCATAAATCAGGCCCAAATGGGAGCGCCTTAATCTTGTTTTAATCAAAGGGGAACTCGTTTTAGGAGTGTTTTGAAATGCATTTTCAGATCTGGAAGATGATGTTCGGAGGACGATACGTGATCCTCCTGATGGGCCTATTCTCCATCTACACAGGGGCCATTTACAACGAGTGCTTCAGCCGAGGCCTCAACACCTTCAACTCATCGTGGCACGTCCAGCCCATGTTCGACAGGAACATATGGAAGTGAGAACAGCTCGAACGTTGTTAGGATTTCTGGTTTTGCCTGCTTTTTTTTTCTTTCCCTTTTTAACATTTGTGGTTTCTGCCTCAGCTCCTCGGTGCTGCAGGGGAGCCCGTTTTTAACCATGGACCCGAATGTGACCGGCGTTTTTACCAGCCCCTATCCGTTTGGAATTGACCCTGTACGCCTGTCACACTCCTCGTGTTTCAGTCTAAAACAAGCAAGAATAAACCAGTTCTTATTCTGCCTTTTTTTTAAAGGTTTGGGGTTTGGCCAACAACAAACTGACCTTCTTAAACTCCTACAAGATGAAGATGTCCGTCATCATCGGGGTCATCCACATGACTTTTGGAGTCTGTTTGTCGTTCTTCAACTACTGGTCAGTCGCAATGTTTATTTCCTTTTTTACGTTTTTGTGTTGTTGTTTTTTTACGACACCCACCGTTTTCCTGGCGCCTCCACTTGTTGCTTTTATTCTCTTGTGTTTCTGCAGGCACTTTGGAAAAACCAGCAGCATATTCTTCGTGCTGATCCCAGAGCTGTTCTTCATGCTGTGTCTCTTCGGCTACCTCGTGTTCATGGTGGTCTTCAAATGGATCGTTTACACCCCTGATAAGTCCAAAATGGCCCCCAGCATACTCATCCACTTCATAGACATGTTCCTGTTCACAGCCAACCCAGATAACCCGCCGCTGTATACGGGTCAGGTGCGTGTTCAGAAACAATTCACACTTTTTTTCCCGCCTTCAATAAAGTCACTGGGATTTATTAGTAGATTTTTAATATGTGACCCATCATATCAAAATGAGGATTCAGTCAAAGTTGGTCAAAATGATCTAATCACATTTTCAGATTCTGGCTTTAAAAGCTACATTTTGATCCCTGGATTGTTCTGATTTCATCAGCTTATCCAGAGATATGACTTAATTTGTCTCATTGGTTATGATAATACTTTACTGTTTGGTCTGAATCCTAATTTTATGTAAATTTATTAAGTAAGTTTTGATGTCAATCTAAAGCGGAAACTTCAAATTGTATTTGTATAATAAGATTTCCCAGTTGGAAAGAAACAAAAACTTTGCTAGCTCACAGGGAAAAATTCAAAATTTTAAGGCATTTTTTTCTCAAAATCAGTTTTTTTTGTTGGTACTGCTCAAAAAAAAATCTTCAAAATATTTTTTTAGGATTATATTTCAGACAGTTCATTGAAATGATACAGTGATAAGGCATTAATTCATTATATTTTGACAAAATGCAATTTTTGCACACGTTTAAATCAAAACCCTATTTCTGCCACTTTCCACTCATTTCGATATGATGGGTCACATACATTAAAAGTTCATACAAATTATTTTTGTCAAATTTAGCTAATAGGTAAAGTAGTGATATTTTAGAGGTGTCACTATTATCCATATTTTGCTGAAGTTATAAAAAAATTATTTATGCTTAAATTTCTTTTAATTTTCTGTTTTTAGTTTAAGGTTGTCGTGCTTGACTTTTCTTTTCTGTTGACACAATGTTCTTAAGCAGCTGAGACCTCAGATGCCATGTTTATTACAAGCACATGAACACAATAATACAGTCATAACAACCGGCGCTTTCACATCCTTTACCAGCTACAATGCTGCAGTTGTTGCTCCATGTTTAATGTAATGTTCTCCAATTTGAAAAAGTCTGGAGATCGTTATTTTGAACTGTACTGATTTGTGCTAGTGAGGCGGATTGTTGGCAGAAACGGCCGTGTTGAAAACGTTTTTTCATCTTTTTAAATGTTTTTTTCTGTGTAGCTTGTGGTGCAGAAGGTCCTGGTCGTGCTCGCTCTGTGTTCCGTCCCCGTCCTCCTGCTGGGGAAGCCGACGTGTGAATACTTGGCTTTCAGGAAAAGGCGGCACTACGCAGTAAGTTTCACCGACTTTGTCTTTTTTATGTCGTGAGACGCATTTTTCAACGAACGCTCTGTGACGTCAGGATGAAGAGAGGCGTCCGCTGGTGGCCGAGGACGGCTCCGTAAACACGAGTCAGGGCGAGGTGGAGGCTGAAAGAGAGGTAACACTGAACACAGCTGAAGTCGTGGCACAGAGGGAATCTCTGTTGTGCTCGTTATTTTTTATTTAATTTAATGTTTGGATCTGCACTTCCAGCAGGAGTTCGACGCCGCAGACGTGTTCATGCATCAGGCCATCCACACCATTGAGTACTGCCTGGGCTGCATCTCCAACACAGCGTCGTACCTGCGACTCTGGGCTCTCAGTTTGGCTCATGCACGTTAGTACAGACACGCGTCATCCTCACATGGTGCACGCAAATAAAATCAAGACTTCCTGTCTCAAAYCAGACATGTGAAGTCAGTTATTCATCCACTCGTGAGGTTTGTTTTTCTTCCCCCTCCTCAGCCAGCTGTGGCTCTCTGACAGTGAGTCATTTGTGTCTCTGCAGAGCTCTCAGAGGTGCTGTGGGTGATGGTCATGCGTCTGGCCCTGAGGTGGCAGGGCTACGTTGGATCTGCGGTGCTCGTAGTGATTTTCTTCTTCTTCGCTTTGTTGACCGTCTCCATCCTCCTGGTTATGGAGGGACTCTCGGCTTTCCTGCACGCACTCCGTCTGCACTGGTACGGAAGGAAAAAATATATATTTTTAAGGTTCATAAAAGCAAAATCACATGCAGGTTGCACAGTTTTTTTTTTAAGATCTGAGGTTGCTAAAAAGATCAATTATATTTAGGTATTTAAAAATATGTTTTCGTAATTGTGTGAATGCTTATCAAACATTCACATTATTGAGATCATTTTTTTTTCTTCTGTACATTTTTTTGGCATGTATCTCGCCCCACAATTTTTTATGATTTCAACAGTTTATAACATTCAGCTACTTTCAGGACATTCTGACTATGACTTTTGGTACTTCAGCAATTTTTACTTTTCAAGATATTTAGCTTATTCTGACTTTTTTTTCCTCATTGAAAAGAAAAGAAGCTGTCTTAAATATTCTAAAAACCCTTTGAAATATTCAGAAATCTTTCCTGTACTTTTTATTCTGGTACTATTTTTACCTCTTTTTGCCAATTTCAGCTTTCTTCAGCTTCTACTGAGCTGATTTTTAGCTACCATTTTAACCCTTTCTGGTATTCTTTCTGCTAATTTAAGCCATTAATGCTTCTTTCAGCTGTTTTGTRTGTGTGTTTTATTTAGCTACTTTTAGCTAATTTCAACATTAACATTTTTGCAGGAAATGCAAATTCTTTAGTTAAATATTATTATTTTGGTAAGTCTTAGCTCCTCTTTAAGCCCACTGCAGAATAAGGTAGACAAACATCTGAGTTGTTTTGTAGTTGAAGCTTGACTTTATGCTTCTCATCCACAGGGTGGAGTTTCAGAACAAGTTCTACAGTGGAATGGGTTACAAACTCAGCCCTTTCTCCTTCACGTCTCTGATCGGCGCTCCTGCTGCTATATGATTGGCCCGAGTGATTGCCCAACGGTTGAATTCACTTGTGTATTTATGTTAATCTTAAAAAGTATTCTTTTGCCTGTAAATCATGACGTGGTTCAATTAACTTGCACATGATCAATGATGCAGACTGTTATTTTTGCATCAGGAAGATGAAAACGAGTCGGTTTTGCTAAATTAGAATAGCTAATTTTGTAACCCCTTTCTAATTTTTTTTACTCTGAATATTGATTTCTAAATGCTTTTTTGGTATATCAAAAAGTATTTGGTAATTATTTAATTTTACTGTAAAAACACTAGATATAGACAGATTATAAAAAAGGGAACTCRCCTCCTAATAATGGGTCTATTTTGGTGTTTAAGGGAATGAGACTGTTGACTTAGTGAATGTTAAGCTCTTCCTGTAGGGATTGTTTAAGAATATAGGAACAATTTAAATCATTTCTCTAAGCCAAAGACTTTCCTCTTTTTTAATGTCTTCCAAACATACCACACCATAGGTATTTATTTGTAGTTGGATGTTTTATTAGTGCCTTATTAGAATAATTTGTGCGTGCCACTGCTTTGTCCAGGTATCATGTCTTCATTTTTTTTGACACGATCAAATTTGAAATAAAATAAAATGTTTAAATCTTGTAGTGTGAAGTAATTTATTCACAATGTTTGCTTGTTGCTTTTCAATACTTGGTCAAAGCAAAGTAAGCCAACAATTAAAATCAAGATATTGTTTTTCAAGACTGCGGTGTTGGCAGACACCATTTTTCACCTCATGGACAGGTTCTGTTCARTCATACAATCACGCACAATCATGCAAACAGACAATTATTTTTTACTTTTACATGTTTTGGGTGTCACCAGGTGTCTGCTAGAGATTAACCAAAACATATTTGATTCAATTTATTTACTTTTAGTTTGGGTTTGTGTTCCTACCACTAACAGATTGAGTGAAAGAAGGACCAGATGGAGATTGTCAAATGGCCCCTTTTGGACCCCCAAACCATATTCTGCCCTAATAATTTACCAAAGTATGAAGCAGAAGTTATCATTCATTCATTCATTCATTCATTCATTCATTCATTCATTCATTCATTCATTCATTCATTCATTCTGTTTGAGCTGTCATTTTTTCGGGAACRCAAATGAAAAAAAAAAAGTTCCTCTCCGGGCGTCTTTTTAAGTTGCACCAATTGAACCGGAAGTTATTGGAATGTCAAAGATGGAGGACGTCGTGCGGGTTTAACCTGCTGCAGCTAGACCCTCCTCGATTGAACGGATAATTTGAGGGCTCAAATCACTGTCATATTGTGACGTACAGACTGGACTTTATTAATTTAGGACGTGAACATGGCTTTAAATGAAATAAGCCGCAGTGTTCGGCTGTTGTTCGGTCCATTTCAACGATGCCGTCCTGTTGTGGCACCAAGAAGACCGACAGGTAAAGAGACACAGCTTTAACCCAAACAGATAATGTTATTTTCTGGATTCTGACTAGTTTTTGTTTAATGAAGCAGTTCCAGCTCGGTGTACGAGTCAGACAGCGACTCAGCCGGAACCCACCGTGGAGGAAAACGAAGCCGTCAGTCCGACCTTTGTGAACAGAAACCCACGGAACCTGGAGCAGTTGGCTCTGGCTGTGAAGGACCGGGGCTGGAAGACTTCATGGCCTCACCGGGAGTTCTACCACAGGTTTGCTTCAAATGGATAATTAACTGTATTAAATGAACACTCATCATTCAGGAGTGTTTATTTCTGTGTTTACACACATACCGATCAGAAGAGGTGAGTGTGTGGACCCCTTCTGAAGCATAAAAGCTTTAGTTACAGAAAAGTCATTTAAACATACAGAATGCTAATTAAGTACCATGTATTTTTTAAAAATAATATCAAACTACTGGTCGCAGGAGTTTAATGTCTCTTTTTCTTTGTTCCACTTTTTGGTCATTCCTCCCCTCAGGTTGATGTTCTCCCGCAGCCAAAGCCACGTCACGGCTGAGGTGTTCTCCTGCACCTCTCCTGTTCCCGTAATCTCGTGTTCAACCAAAGAGTGGGCGGTGAAAAGGGAACTGTCTTCCACAAAGTCTGTGGCGGCGTGTCAGGCTGTGGGGGAGGTGCTGGCGCTTCGATGCCAGCAGGCGGGCATCACCAGGATGGTGTACCACGAGATACCCTGGACATACCGCTCTGATGCTGTGAGCCACTGGGACAGATGGGTGAATACTGGTGCGAGTGTTCTGTGCTTCTTGGTTATATTTTCATTTTATCTTGCAGGTTCAGGCTTTCAGAAAGGCTGTAAAAGATGGAGGAATCCTTCTCAGTGAACCCAGGAGGAAATATTTGGAGTCTTGAACCTGTGCTCCATGTCCTCTCCCATGTTTATCCTTTAATTCTCGACAGATATTTTACATTACAAAGACTTCAGTAAGTGGTGATGTCATGCAGTTTGTTTCTTATAAATAAAAGTGTTTCTGAACTGAACTGTGCCGCTTGGGTGCGTTGAGACAAGAAAAACTAATTGTCGGGAATATGATCATTTATTTTCACTTAATGTTTTGTAAACAAGAGTGAAGTGTGGACAACAGCTAACCACAACAATAGATATGGATGTTGATCAAATTTTTTTATTTTGAAAGTGGACTGTGCTGGGAAAATGAGTGCAGTCAGCAGTGAAAATATTTTTGCAGAAAGTCGTTTAAAGAAGTCATCTAACAATTTTGGTGACTAAAGTAGCAAATTCTTTATATACTGCCTTTACATCAGTTTTCTGGCAAATATGCTTTTAGAAATGTACCTTTTGTTTTGTAATGCTTTTAATTTCCTTTGAAATTGACTTCTCTTATGTAGTATCAGTAAATTTGTTTAATGTCTTTTGGGGATTCCCCTTTTTTAAATATAGGACTGGAATTCCTGATGACATCACTCCAGACCAATAAAAATAGATCTGAAAGCTGGAATGCTGGTAAACAACAGTAGCCAGGTGAGAAATTGGCAAACTGCGTATTATTTTGAAGCTTTCGAAATGGAGAAAAAAAAAATACAGAAAAACTCCTCGCTGTCGCTCATTTTTGCCAGCACAGRCTCACAAACATTGATCCTATCAATCACAGTACAGTGCACAGTTGTCTCAGGAAGTGTGAACAGCGAGAGCTGAGGGATTATAAAGTGCGTGTAAATGATTTTAATGCTGGGCATGCACGTTAAATGAAGCTTTAGCTAGGTTTKGATTSACAAAAAGGAATACCAGCATGAAATAACKTTCCACATCAGCATCACGTATGAATAATTCAACCTATTTAAAATCCATATATACATGTGGAAAAAAACAAAACAAAAAACCCTGAACAGTTCACTATCATGGGCTGGTAGATATACACCAAAACATGCACCCAGTTCACCAGCATTTATATTTTGATACCTATATACTGTATTTATGCAGAGATTTTTGGGCTGTATGAAGSAGCACAAGAAATACAATACGTGGCCCACACCTTAGAGTTAAAAAAAAACATAAAAAAACACCAGTTGTATTTTATTCTCATGTTGAAGGCACTCATGCAGTCCTGGTGTTAAATAAAAAATGTTCCCCAATATGGACAATGATAAAGATTTTCAKTTAAATATATTCACTGGCACATAGAAAAACAGTTTGGCAATTAAGATGAGCGCYATAAAACTGGCCTGACGTGGTCCATAATGCACAGCTTAGATGCAGTCAAATCTGACGACAAAAAAAAAAAGAACTTTAGGGAAATGAATCAAGTGGCAGCTTTAAAGCCTCGTGTTCAAGGAAAGACAGCAGGTTTTTTTTTTTTTGCATAGATCTCAGGAGTGTTGGGAGGGAGAGCTGTAGAAGGCGTGACGGGAAACGGAGAGCTCCGATGAGACTTGTGTGGCAGAATCTTAAAAATACTTGACGGGAAATWCAAAAACTTAAACAGCCATATTAGCTGGAAGATGTCCCGTCTTTCACTGGTACAGCAATACTGGAGCAATATCCTCGGAGAAACGAATCATTAGTTAAAACCAGACGAGAGACCAGCGAGGCGTAAATTACAACTTCAATATGAGTGTATAAAAAGCTTTGGMGTGCGTCCTGCTTTCTTCACCTTCAGGACTTGTTTTTGTTGTTGTTTTTAAACTTTCCTGGTCTTCCTTTGTTCCTCCCCTGCTCGTCCATCTTTGTCCACTTTAGTGCTCGCTGGTGCCGTCATCTGGCAGGCAGCGTGGTTCTGGTGAAATGTCCACGCATGCTTTTTGGTGGGTAAGACCCCGTCGTACGTGGCTACGCCTACGCTGTCCTGGAGAGCGTCTTGGACTGCCAGGCATCTTTGGGAAGAAGAATTTATCAGCAAAGTTAGCTATACATTTGTATTTTTACATACTGAAAAAAATAAACAAACTGAAGGAAAAGAAGAGAGGAGGATGGGAAGCAACAAAGTCTTTCAAAATGTTAAAACCAATGACACGAGAGTAACGGAACTAAAATAAGCCCCAACAGCTCAACTTCTGTTTTGAAGTTGCAAATTTCCAACAGAAATTTGGCTCCAAAAAGAACCAAAGGAGCTCTGATAAGATTAATTTGATCAATAATAAATTTATATAATGTCACAATATCRAGCTCTTTCCAGTACCAATTTCCTCAAAGAACCACGCGCAACAGCAATTACCTACTGCTATAGTAGAATGTTACCAATTAACAGGTTTAATATCATATAAATTCAATGAAAAAATGAACAACATAGAGGTTGTTGTCAGAAACAATGATGTCAGTTTACCGTATTCTTGAGTTATCCACCGCAACAATTTTTTTTAAATTAAATTTTCTAAATTATTTTTTTACAGATGATGAAAATCAGTCGTGTGAATAGAGAACTTCAATCCTCAAAAAACATTCAAGGACTTTCAAGGTCAAGTGTAACTTTTGGCTGTTTTCACAAACTTTCCAGGGCCTTGAAATCATTTTTTCAAATTCACAAACTTACAAGGATTTCAAGGACCCGTGGGAACCCTGTTTAATACAGTTGTCAAATGATGAAACTATGAGAATAAAAAAAAATGCACTTTTTAAATTTACTTTGTGCTGAGCAAGAGTAACTGAAAACTGCTGAACCACATCTGCAATACTGAACTTCCAAAACCACATAAGGACAAAATAAGGCTCGAGGAGCAGAAGCAGACCCTGAGCCATCYTAATTTAGCTAATGAACTCGTATAAAAATAATATATATATTTTTTCAATCTGGTTTGTTTCTGAATTGTAAACATTTCTAAAAAAAATGCTGACTGGCTGCCAGTTTAAAGTGAAAAGCTACTTCTCTAAACTTCCCTCTTTTGAATCAGCCTCTGTGCAAATTTAGAATAATAAAGAAAAAAAGATTTTAAAACAAAGGTGTTATTTACCTGGTCGAGCCCCTTGTCATCGTCGTCCAGCTCACTAATAGACTGCATGAGGGAGAAGAGGTTCATCCTGCCGCTGCGATTCAGACTCGAGGAAAGCTTCAGATTAAARAGACGAGTCATTAATTAAAGGTTTTGGATAAGTGTGTGTCAGCRCATATTTGTTACATTATGGGGATCATTTTTCCAGACACACAGCCTTGTGGGGACCAATGCCTGTCCCCATGGGTACGGATGCCATTTTTGGGTGGRTTTATGGACTAAKGCGTGAATTGAGTTTAGGGTAACGGGTCAGTGTTAGGCTATAGAAATGTTTGATGAATGAATGGAAGTCGATGCAAAGTCCCCATGAGGATAGAAAAACCAGTGTGTGTGTGTGTGTAAGGCAGACTGCTTACCTTGTCTGGCTCATTGATGGTGATGAGGGGGCTGACAGCTGATCCTGTTGAACTCGGGGTCTGGAYGGAGTCAGACATGGGGAGCGTCTCGTCAAACACCTGGGTGTGATTGAGACGATTSAGACGTCATCTTCTCAGCAGAACAAAAATCAGAGAAATTTCAACCGTTTTATTGGTTAAATAATTACATCATGGTCTTCATCAGAGTTGTTTTTCTCATCTGGACTGCCTGAATCTTTTTCATCTGGACTCTCTACATCATCATCATCGTCCTCGTCCTCGTCGACTCCCTCGTCGCCCTTCAGCGGCAGGTCCACCTCCATGTCCGCCCCCTCTTCCTTGTGCTCCGACTTTTGTCTCTGGTCTCTGGACTTCCGTTTCCAGAGTGCACTGTGACGCTGCTGGCTGCACAGAGTCAACCGTCACTGCAGTTATTCATTAGTTAAAGACTTAAATTAACASAAACAGGAGAAACTGTGCGACACATCCGGACAGAGCCGAGGTCCCACCTGGCGCTCAGGATGCCGCTGTAGGTCTGCAGCTGCCTCATGAAGCCCTCRTTGGGCTTGACGATGGACCGGCGGTCTCTGACGTAGGCCAGCGCCACGTCCAGGAGCCAGCGCTGCTGCTTCATGGCGTAGGCGATCACCGTGGACGCAGACCGGGACACGCCCATCTTGCAGTGCACCAACACCGCCTGGCCGCTTTTTCTGTGATAAACAAACCGAAGTTTAAACTAATTTTATGTCAGATTAGTGAATWMGATTCCCTCTCAAGAATGAATCTGGTTTCTTCTCAGTTTCTTTTTCAAAGTAGAAAAAAAAGGCAGAAGCTACCATAATCTGTCTGATGGAGGTTGTTTCAGTCACTCAGTGTGCATTTGAAGAAATGCAGACAGAGCAACAACTCTAATCCAAATCTGGCTTTGAGTCAAAGATGTGATTAAAACGAGTAGTGAGTTCAGCAAACTAAGGACTTCTACAAAATGCTCATCCCTGGAAAACAATAAAAAATAAATTAAAAACATGGAAATTTACTCCAGTGTCATAAATTATACCTTCATTAAATCTTTGTTTCACCCTCCAGCCTCCAGATCAGATTAGGTCATGAGAAAAGGCCTGGGGCTGAAACGTTGAGGACGCTAATCTTTCTGATGATCTAATAAAGCTTTGAATTTACATACGGTGCTGGAGGATTTAAAAGGGAACGCATAAAGTGTATATAATTTATAAAGACACACCATCACAATACTCTACAACAATAGTAAAGCTGCGTGTTTCCCAATGTTGTGCAGCATTTTAAAACTTACTCTAATACAGAGCGAGTCAAAAGTCACAGGACACTCTTTTGTTTCAGAGAGAAAAGGGAAAACGACAGACTCTGAATACCCCAGCAAGTAATGGGTGAGTGCAGCTATTTTTGGAAAGACTTGCCCTTGATCCAGTATGGCAGCTTTCAAGATGGCAGCCATGTTCTAGACATAGGGTACGTTCCTTCGAAGGACCCGGCCTACCTACGGTCCTTTGTCGACCGCGGAGACCAGAAGTGAGTGGCTGTGATTTTGGACGGCCTAGCCTTCATATTTATTCCCACCCTTACCCTGGTGTTTGAGGAAAACGAGTGCAGTGACRCCCCTCTGCTAACGGCATGACAGACTAGAACAAAGTGGGCAAAAACAAGCAGTTTCAAGCCAACTCCTTAGGAATAACTCCTGAAAATGACTCAGAGCACCAATGAATAAAACACCCAATAGGTGGGATTAGCCAGTACTATAAAAGGCTGCCTCATACTAGTTACTCCTTGTATGTTACTCTTAACATTGAGCTGATCCGTCCAAAGAAATGTGTCACTCATATGAAAAACTAAATCCAGTTTTGATACATAATGTATTAAAAGCTGTGCATGCTGATTTATCTCCCGGTGCGTTTGGTGGATCAGGTCTACCTTGCAGTGTTGATAAAGTTGTACGTGTCCGACCAGTGGGGCAGCAGGTCGGTCGCCTCCACGTCGTACACTCTGACGTTCATGTAAGTGAAGGATTCTGGGAAGAAGTTGTCAATCTCCCTTGTGACATTCAGAATGTAGCCGATGCTAGGAAACAGACAAGGGGCAGACTCAGAGCCGTGGCGGTGACTCAGCAAAACTCAGCTCACAGTTCTGAATTACATATCGTGAGACAATGAAACACACAGATGGATAACAATAAACAGAGCTGCATGCAACAAAAACATAACAAAAAAAACTGACTTGTTTTTCTGCAATTCCTCAAAGTTAGCTGCGTTCCACTCGGAACCCTGCAACAAAACAAAACAAAACAAAGTCAGTGACAGAAATGACGAGGCAGAAAAGACCGTTTCCCTATCACCGTCAACACACAACCTCTCAGAAAGGGGAAGCTACAGTCACATGACAACTTCCTGGTGAAAGCACACTTCTGTCACTTTATAGGCCTCGGTTAAAGAAAAGCTTCTTTATAACAGTAAAATAGAGATTCTTACTGTTTTTAAGATGAACAAACACTCACCAGGTAAAGGTAATCAAATATTTTGGAGGGCTTGTCCATCTGAGCCATCGTCACCAGGATCTCATTGTCTATGTACTCCTTGTAGGGCCTCAGTTCAATCTGTATCCTGGTCTCCAGAGCCGAGTGCACCTAAAGCAGCAAATGAAGAATTAAAGGACACATTTATCAATTATTTACCCTCTGTTAGAACAACTGCCTCTCTTACCATTTTCGAGGTCAGGTTGTCCAGGTCTTCGGTCCTCATGATGTCTCTCAGGTGCTCTTTGATCAGTCTCTCATTAGAAACTCTGTCTGCAGAGCTTTGTTGGACAAGAAAAGAGAAACTCTAGTCCAAGCTGAATGCACAGCAAATTTATTTATATTTCTATATTTATAGCTGCATGTGGTAACAAGTGCTTGAACTGAAGTACTAAGATCTAATTAGATAGTAATACACTGTTGCAAATATAACCATTAGTTGCTAAATGGATTTCTACTTTAACTTAGTAAATAACTCGTAAAATGAAATGTTTCTCACTTCTGTCCGTTGCTGTCCCTGCGGACCGACTCCAGGTCGTTCATGGCCTCCCACTCGTTCAGGCAAAGGCGATCGGACTCTATGTGTCGGAGGTAGTGCTGGGACCACTCCAGCCCGCTGCCTGGGATCACGGCTGATTTGACGGCCCGCTCGCAGCAGCCATGCAGCACCTGGAGGATGGACCTTACAGGGATTGGGATAGAGAAAGAACTTATTATCCTAACGTTGATCCGAATACGCTGGAAAACATTAAGGAAGATCACGTTTCGGATCCGGTCCCTTTCAGTGAATTTCGAGGTGGTCTGAGTGTGAACGTGCAAGTTTCCACGTCTCAAATGACGTATTCTCCACTGGTGAATCAACAGCCCAGTGGAAGAACCCCCAACTGAGTCTGGTACCTTTAGCTATCATTTTCTTTTCCTGTTGGCTTGTTGTGCAGACCAGGGTTATTATAGTTAACTAAAACTAACTAAATAATGAAAACTGAAATTGAAAAAACATTTTAGTTAACTAAAATAAATAAAAACTGTAATAAAATGAAAAAAAAGTTAACTGAAACTGTATAATCTTTTTACAAAACTAACTAAAACTAACTGAAATTATAGGTAGAATATCCTTAGTTTTAGCGTTTGTCAATTTATTTATGTTTTTTATTAATTGAGTAGTTTCACATTAGCTGTGGGCCGTAACAACACTTGTTTACAGTCTGCTGCTCAGCATCGTCTGCTAAATGACGACAACAAAAGTTGGGAGAAAGCAACAACGTCCACTTTGGGATTTCTTTGAATATGATGTGAGAAAAATCAAAGCAAGTGTCTTGTAGTGGAAACGTGATAAAAAACAGTTGGAATACTTCTCAAGGGAAAAACTGCATGAATCAAGCTCACACAAGATGGCTAACTATGACTATCTTGACACGTTAGCTTCTCTCAGTAGCTCCTGTGAAAAACAGGTAGCCCCGGGTTGGAGACAACCATTGTCATCGTCCTAAAATAACCTCCCAAGTTTTTAGTTGGCAATATCAAGTTACACAGTTATTTTAGAAAGGCGTTGCTATAATGGACTGCTTTAAATAGTGACCAAATATCTGTTGGTTGGTTAACTCACAGGAACATCACAAGCTGGAGGATGCATTGGCAAATATGTTTATTCAAACAATAAAAAACTAATACTAGAACTAATAAAAACTAAACTAAAACTAACCATTAAAAATGCAATAATAACTAATAAAAACTAATAAATCCACTGTAAAAACTAATTRAAACTAACTGAATTAAAAGAAAAAAGTCACAACGAAATAAAACTAAACTATAACAAAAAATCCAAAACTATTATAACCTTGGTGCAGACAACGACAAAGCCCTTTAAAGAAACCTAATGAGCGATTTGTTGTAGGTTCGGTACCAAAACAGAGTTTTGTGGTTGAAGGCAGGTAAATGTTTCAAATTTTTGAGAAAAGATCATCTCTTTTCACACAGAACTGATCTCAACTCTGTGTAAACATTTAGACAAAGTAAGCTCACTGCAGACTTCTGTTAATGTTCGGTGTGAAYACAACAATCAAATATGTCTGTAGTTCAGAGTGTAGTATTACTAGTGGTAAAAATATTAGTAAATAGTTGCTTATTGTGTTCTTTATAAAAGTTATGATGGCTAAACTCCACTCCACTGTATTTTATTTTATTACAGTTAATGTGTGAACACTGAATCAGCATTCACACCAAAGTTTTATTTCCCCGTCATTTTTTAATGCAGTTTAACAACTTCTGCATATTTTTTTGTATTTTAGCCATTCATATATGAGAACACCTCTTCTCATAGAAATATAATGAGATCTTGTCAACTCCTTCAAAAACACTTATTTTTTTAAAACTGCCTCAGCATACTTATTCATTTTTTATAAGTTACCATTTTGTAACTGCTAACTTATAGCTAGCCTTTTGCTACATTGAGCTTTTAGCTCACCAATTGTCACTTTTAGCTCGTAGCCAGTGTTCAGCTTCCTCAGTAAAGTCATTCAGCACACTGCATTCCCACTGCAAATTCCCAGGAAATGCAATCCATTGAGTTAGTTTATGAAATCTAATTTGGCTGAAAAAAAAAATCAACAGACATGTTGGAAATAAAAAGCAGTGATGCAGTATATTGCTTGAGGCTGCAACCAAATCTGGACATGTTGCTGAAAGCTTCTGCACACTGGGTGCACATTCTAGCAGCAGAGGTGTTAAAAAAAAATCAACTCAAGAATTGTAGTTTTTCTACTTTAGTTTCAGCAACACTCACCACATAGTCTGCATGGAGACTGGCTTAAAAATTCTGGTTTCCTCTGCTGATGTCACACTAAAACCACTGAGGGTAGAGAAAAAGATAAGAAACATTATTAGACAAAAAATAAAACAGTCGACTACAGGAGGTAGAGAGAAAATATCCAGCGTAAATTAGCAACATTTCTAGAGAACAAAGTGCCAAATTCTAATGCGAGGGCAGTGAGAAAGACAATTTAACACTGTGAGAGGTGTGATCCAGCCCGCTGGGGGGGTGAACATGCTGGTACGACATGGCAACCAATCAAAGCATCCTGTTTGACACTCAGCATGTGAGAGCAGATTAGTTCAGACGCAGCAGGCAACAGTCCTCACACCACGTCAGCTCAAATCACCCTCCTCTGTGTATCAGCAGCCATTTGAATCAAAGRGGAGCTGATTGATTATAAACCAGTGAGGTATAACGGAGCGACAGCCATCATGTTTAGCTGAATTACAACCTCATAGGATTAAGAGTCAAACACTGAGCAGCTAAACCCACTGAAAGAGTCTCCTGCGTTTTCATCTGCCTACAAAAACACACGAGCTTCACATTTATGTAAGAGTCCAAGTTAGTGAGCGTGTGTAATTTATAGCAAATGATTCAACTCTATAAATAACACGTTGTCTCTGGAAAGAATCGCAGACAACAGACTGGCCGTGTTTCATGTCACCGATTTCAGTTCAGTATTTCGTTCTGAACTTTTAAAGGCGGGAGGGAGATTATGTAATTTCTAGGCACATAGTTCACTTCCATAACACAGTCAAGTAACTATGTTACCATTATTTGTTATGAAAAKGTTGTATATTTCACAAATAACTTTAACTTTGCATTATAGTCTGTCTAACAGCATTGAAATTGGCCTCTGTCTCCTTCAGAACCTCCGACTTGTTTCCAACACTCCCACTTCAGCACGTCTTCACAACAATGCTTCATGCCATTTACAACTTTTATTTTGTTGTAAAAGAAGCGACATTAAATAAATCGGTTTTGGAAAATGGCAACTCGGGATACAGTTGAACCTTACTCGAACAATCACACGTTGGACCCAGAAAGTATGTATTCTGAAGAACCGGCGCGGGTACAGAGGCTCTTACAAGACGTTTCAGCTCAGTAATATATCTCCCAGTCATCCTATCATACATATACATCAATGTTGAGCTACTTTTTGCAAAGAAACTATAAACATAGATCATTATTAAGCAATGATTTGAAATGAAATCATGAACATCCACCATTTTTAAGACACGTTTTGCTCGTCTGGTGTGGCTGTGTGGGGGAGGCGTGCTCTGTGGGGCCGAAGCTCGGCTGGGGACTGAGCACCAGGGAGGAGCTTTGGGCACGGGCGCTTTGAATGAGCAAGTGTTTTAGCACCACCGAATGGTTACCACTGGATTTCTCAAACGTGCATGAATGAATCTAAGCAACCCTCTGGGTATGTTTTCGATGAGGGAATGACCCAAAAGTTTGATTTTGCGTAATATTCGCCCTTTAAATCTCACTTACCCGTCTCCGTCCAGGTACACTTGTGTGTCGCTCCATATTGGCAGAACCAGGCCAATGGTGCACTGATTGCTGCAAGGAAACACAAGAGAAGTCAGGAATTTAAACGTRTCCAAGTTAAATCAGAAAATAGTCACCCCCACCACCCCCTCGAGTGGAATCCTGCACGGCCTGCGAAACAGAACACCACCATCTTGGTTACCCACACCTGTCTGAGCTGGGGAAATCCATGCCCAGCAGAATGCTTTCTTGTTTGCTGCTGGTCGTGGAGACGACGATCAGATACCTGACTCTGACCAGGCTGGCTGACTCCAACTGCACMGCCTGCATGCCGGAGCACAGAGAGRGACAGAGAAAGGTGGGAAGCAGAGAGAAGTCTAGTGAGGACCGGAGAATAAAACATGCTTTTAATGCAACACGAGACCTGAAAGTACCCAATACGTTAGCCGGACTGCATGCAGTGCACCCTCACTGGACTGCTGTTTGCTTTGTTTTTATTTAGGCAGCCTTAGAAAAATTGAGATAAAGAAAGAGAACACTATGTTTAAAGGGAAAGCCAACCAACAACCAAACTACTAATATTTTCTAAGATCTATGTCACTAACTTTTATTTTCCACAACTACGTATTTAGCTGTAATTACATATTTTGTCTTAAAACTGATGGAGTTTTATATGAAATACTTCATAAACAAAAACAGATTTTTAGATTTAAAGTAAATGAGGGTTCAAAGTTTTGATATTTGTCGTAAATTAAATTAATCATACTGGTCAAATGTTTTTACACGGCATTGGACTGAATATGACTGAATTAAGACTATGACTGTTGATGAGTTCACCCACTGCTGTACAAGTAAACATCAAATAGTCACAATCAAAAACAAGCTACAATAATTATCAGATATGACAGTTCTGATGCTTTAGACCAGTAAAATTACATGCTTAGTCCCCATAAAGTTGCTCAATAGTTCAATATCTGTTGATTTTACAACTACAGCACAAAGCAATGATTGGTTACTTCTTGTTTTGGTAAAGTTAGAAAGCTCAAATTTCTCACCCAAGGGACGGGAGATGTTCTGTTCCTGGACTCCCTGAAAGCCTTGTTTGTTGTCTCAGCCCTTATCCTTTTACTTAGCATCACCCAGTCACATCACATCTTATCAGTTACATAACTGCTTAATAAATAGTTTTGCAAGCCTCAAGCAACAGAGAGCAGCTTCCTTTTACTCTGGGATTTATTTATTTTTTTGACCTTACAGTCGACCAACCAGAGTAAAATGGGCCTTTGGGGCTTTTATAAAAACAGGAGCTAAAACTTCGCAGTGTTGACAGAAAGAAGATCTCTGCAGCTGGAAAGTAAAAGAACATTTAACACAGCAAAATGGACCCAAAAATAATAAAAATATCAATATGTTCTTAATGTAAATGAGATTGGAACATTCTTATGATTTAACACTGCTCTCAAATGTGACTTATTTTGCTCTTTTCTCAGTTTAAAACCTAATTTCTGTCTTTCTGTGCCCAACAAGCAATCATGATACGACTGGTCTATTTGTTTACATTTCTCTCGAGGCCAGTAAATAGCTTTAGTGAAACAATGTAACTGGAGGCCCTGAAAAGGTGCACATTTGCAACTAAATCTTAAATTATTTGCTTTCCATCAGTAAAATGACAAGATCAAAACTTGCTACTACTGCGTCTTGAATGCATCAAATAACACGATTTAAAATAAGGCGGCACAATATTTCGAAAATTTATCGTCATCGTAATAATAACCTGTGCAATATGCATATCGCAACAACTGCAAAAACTGCAATAAATGGTTGACTCAAAAGTTTGCATTTACGCGTTTTGTCATTCAGATGGAAGCTTGAAATATTTCACCAGTCAAATGGAGCCCTTCATGTACAGTATTTGGTCAATTTAAAAAAGAAATTCAGGCTGGAATGGAAAAGATTAGTTTGTTTTGGGTTGATTTTTGGCTTTGAACCCAGAGCAGAAAGATATCAACACTACATACATATTTGTTCATTTATCACAAGTCATGTCTTCATGGCAATATTAAGCGTTGTTATCGCACATCGCAGGTTTTCCTAATATCGTGCAGCCCTAATTTACAACCAGTCGAACACAGTAATACTCCTTCTATGACCACGCTGGAGATGTGTTAGTGCTTGAGAAAACCTTCACAAATAAAATTCCACGTGACATTTTTTCACTAATCTGATTTGCAACATGCGTGCAGCCTCCAGAACTCTCACCAGCTTGATGGTATCTTCTGGTCTCAGTTGCTCAAACATGGCACGTAAGTGTCTGTGCCGCGCGTTCGACGTGCCGATGTCTTTCTTCTCCGGAGAAGTCGCGGTGGAAGAAGTGTCCTCGCTGCAGTTCCCGATTTCGCCATCTTCCAGCAGCACAACCGCCCCTTTGACGAGAGCGAAGCTCTCCCTGGAGACAGAGACCAGTCAGCCCAGCGTCGTTTTCGCTGTCGTTTAGTTCAAACGGGTAGCTCTCAAAGTTCAGAGGTGACATGTTTACCTTTTCTGAAGTCTTCCTCTCTTTTGGAGCCGTTCATCCTTCAAAATACAATAATTTACAAGAAATCGTTCAGAATAAAAGCAAAAAATGAAAATTACACAGCTCCTAACATGTTGGCTTGAACTTTAAGCGCAAATATTTTTGTGCATTTTGAGGGACTTTTAGAATTAGAGTTGCCATTTTACAATTTTTACAAAGTTTATAATTGGTGTTAATTGTAAAAAACAAACAGTGGACAATGAAGAACACAGTTGCTAATAGGGCTGCCACAAACGATTATTTTAATAATCGATTAATCACAGATTATTTATTCGATTAGACGACTAATCAGATCATACGTTAATTGAATATAAAACATACAGCTTATCACCTCAGAATGCAGCTGCTATTATATAACCATGGTTAGATTTTAGCTATATGCTAACTAAAAATAATTGCTGTGGAAGGCAAGTTCTGCTCTGCAGATATTGCACAGGTTTCTCTTTCATTTTCTTAAAATGATCCCACATGTTTGAGCTCCGTTGACAGGTAGCCATGATACCAGAGCCTGTCTGTATAATGTCTTGTGACATCCACGGCCTACCCCAGTTACCACTACTGTGCATGTGTGTCAAGGACAGAAAGGCAGATGTGGCAGTGGAAGGTGTCAAAGCAGTTTGGAGAGAAAAACAAAGTAAAGAACAACAAAAAGAAAGAAAACGATTAATCGATTATTAAATTAGTCATCGATTATTTCAATAATTGATTAGTCGTCGATTAATCGTGGCAGCCCTAGTTGTTAATGCTTTCCAAAGTGTCCTAGAGTCATTGGAAGCAGTTCATAATGTGTTCTTCTGTTGTTGAATGTGTGAACATATATGGCAGGATAAAATGTTCAGTAATCCTCTGGGTGACGTGGAGCACAACTCAGTTATGAAAAAACAAAAGCAGTGATTTATATGAAGTGGAAGCTGTAGGTGAAACCACACAAATAAGCAGTGAATTCACAAACAAAAGAAACAAATAAAAGAGCATTTTATTACAAAGGAGAAAGTGGGGTAGAAAGAAGAGAGAAGAGGCAGTGATACTGGTAAGGGTTTACACGGAAAGAAACTTGAGACAGTAACATTACCTTTTATGCAACTGACAAGTCCAGACAGAATCAAGAAAAAAAATAAATAAAAAAACAAAGTTAGAGAAGTGGGCAGGAGCCAGGAGAGGAACGGTGAGGGGGTTGAAGAAGAAAGAAAAAAAAAAGAGAGAGAAAACACAAGTTAAGATAGTTGGGGGATTAGATTCTGTGACAAAATATGCAAAGAATGAAACTTGGATCCACAGTTGAGCCTTTTATGGTTTAGTGAGTCATGAAAAAGAAAAAACATGAGTAAAGCCTGATCTTCAAACACAATATTATTTTTCTAATGACAGTGATACAGAATGAAAGAAGAGGAGACAAAAGAGAAACAGAGGCTAATGATAACACTATTTATGTATGCTTTATGAGCATTTAGACAACACAAAGTGATTTGCTGTGATGAATGGTGGCTAAAATTTTAATATCTTGGACAAGACTAATAGAGGAATCCCAAGCAAAAACAAAAGCAGCCTCGTTATTCTTCAGGCAAATGTGGTGCTGGTATCTGGACACCTTCAGTGTCTCTTCTGTTGTTCACACAGGCCTCACAAAATCTCAGCACAAACAGCTCTTGTGACAAAAACAACCTCGTATCTTGAGATACGACGTTTGTGTCCGAGGATAACTGCACTCACAGTATCGGTGGAGATGGACGGGAGCCTATGCAGGGTCAACAGAGCCATGGCACAGCACAGCTAAGCCAGTGGTTTGCGGCAGGCCCAGACAGGTTCTGCAGGTTCCTCAGCCAACAGCAAGCCGTTGGAGGTAGTTTTATTTTCTGAAACGACAAACAGATACTTAACTTAGATTACGTCTGATGAATAAGATTCTTCGCAAGGTCAGATGTTTGATTTAAAGCGTTATTCTGTGTAAAACACGGCACATCAGATCATATCTTTGTTACTGTAACACTTCAACTTTATAGGAGGAGATTATATCCGGAATACATTAAGCTAGATTTAAACTTTGCCTTTCATTTCATGCAACATGTGTGTATTAAATTGGGTTTGTCGTGCTTTTAGGTTTAATGCCAAAGTTTGCATAGGGGGCCTGTCACACTATGAAGTTTTACACAACTTATGCCAACTTGCAAAAAATATTTCTATGAAAATGTTTGCACTGAAAATAGAATGATCTTTTAGAAACCTCTTGTACACATAGTGTGATGCAAATGTGTTGAATTTATAAACTACGCGAATAATTTCTACGTAACATTTTCATGGCTTAAGTTGTCTAAAAAGTTATAGTGTGACAGGTCCTTTTACCTCAAGATATTTGAGCTCTGATAATTTCACAAAGCTAATTATTGTGGTTGGGCTACGGTTTGCTTTGCAATCCTTATTCTGAAAGGTAAGATGATGCAAACTTTAAAGTTTCATAATACATGTAACGTACGTCTTGGAAATGTGTGTTAACGATCAGCACTCCGGTGAGAAGCTGCCTTTTTTCTCACCAGTAAGAAAAAAAGATAATGAATCATTTTGATTGCAGACTTGTGAACTGAACTGAATCTAAACTGCATCACGACAGACTTTGTAACATCGAACTGTCACCCAAACAAATCGATAAAATATCGTATTGTGATAAAACCAGTGATTTTACACCCTTATTGTAAGATTGCTGAAGAATTTTCTTTTGACTACACACCTTACAGATGTTAACCAGTTGGTTGATAACATCTGGACAACCCTAGAGGTGTTTTTGGACACTAGTACATTGAATTGAAAAGAAAAACAATGGCTTAAATAAGCAAGAATTTATTTATCTAAAATGCACCTATGGTTTCATCACGCTTTGAGAAGTGAGATGAGTGGATGAACAGAACTAAAGGACGGCCATTACAACAAGAGGATTCTGTAACCATAAAATAAAGTTAAAAGTTGTCAAGCACTGTTTCTTTTTAATGGCTTATTATAAAGTACTGAAAATGCAGTTTGTCCACAATTTTTATCAGTCATCATCATCTGTTTGGAATTGAGTTCATTTTTATTTACCCAACGTGACACAACAATTGTGTAGCTGCAGAAAACATGACTGGTGGTGCCACCAAGATTTTTACTGAAACTTTAACATGCTTCTGGTCATACTGGTGTCAAACAGCAGGAGGGTGGAAGAGGAAGGAGGTGGGGGATTGCTACATCAATTAGATAAGTGCCCATCTATGTCACAAAGCAACAATTACTTTTCCACCAAACAATGAAAATACAAAATTGTCACACGAAGTGACATTTACTAAACAATATTTTGAAGAGGAAGACACTGACTAATTATCTACACAACTTAAAACAATTAGATGCAGAAACCAGATGATCTAAAATAATGAAAACAAAAAGTATTAACAAAAATGGTTTACTTAAAGCTCAGCAGTGATRGCAGATGGATGGACAGCAGGCTTGTGCCAAAGGTAAACACGAGTATAAAAAAAAAATTCAACCAAAAACAAAGTGGTGTAAAATTACCAGGAAGTTTACACAGTGACACATGTAAAGCAGAAAGAGCACCGTTAAAACACATTAAACTCACTGTGGCTCTGCTGGCTCTGACCGACGTGACGCCTGTATTTTATTAGAGAAATATGACGAAGCTGAAGCGCTCCGGCTCGGTCCTTTCTACTAATAAAWTTATGGTTTTGCATCGTTAACAGGTTACCCATCGTATAAGGAATTTTTTATATTAAGTAATGAGCTAAWATATATATATAAACCTCTGGTTCGTCACAGTCAGTAAACTCAAGCAATACAAGAGCAACACCACACAGTCTACATGAATGTTGACACAAGCTAACACACAACAATAATCACAAACGAATCCATTTCCTCACCTTCCCCGTCCTCCACTCTAATTTCCTGTTTATTTCTGGTGCTTGGGTCTGTCTTCCGTACTGATAGCTCCTTTTTTATTCCGCCCTCTGCCGCCGTCGAGGGAGAGGACCTCACCATTTAAAGCTCGGGCTGCCGCTCCACCGCCGCCCGAGCCCATTTTAGACACAGACCAACGAGCAGGCGCGAGAGAGCTGCGAGGGAGCAGTTACGTCACGTGCAAAAGCAACGTCATATTTAACGGTGTTGCCAGATACACGATAATTATTACATTTATTCGATAGCTTTAGGGTTTGTGCTGTACAATAAAATGATTTTAAAAAGCCTAAATTTGAGATTTCCGTTCACTGTTAGCCGACAGAGCGCACTTTCAACCATTACATGCAATAGTTTTGTTCGAAATAGGGTCATTAAGTGGCGATACGATATTTCGTGATTACTTACCTGACAACCTTGCTATTTATTTCAGCACACGGAAAAGGGCCGAACTTGTCCTCTATTGAATTAAAGACACACTCAGATTATAAAGTAACTTCACTTCAATGTGTAAAAAGGACTATTTATACAGACAGAGTAGACAAGCCCCTCTAAATGTCAACACACACTGATCTAAAACAAAACCTCTTAGTAGAGTTCAGTTGGTAAAATTGTGAAAAAGTAAAAAAAAAAATAGATAGATAGATAGATAGATAGATAGATAGATAGATAGATAGATAGATAGATAGATAGATAGAT